GAACGTCAATGGGTTTGGAAACATAATAGATAGGGAAGAGAAGTTGAATGACACCATAACAGGATTGTCAGTTGCCAATAGGAAACTAGCGGATATTATGTTGCTACAAGAAACCCACCTCACCTTCTCGTTGGAACACATTCTTTCCTAGCAAGAAAGTTGGGAGGCTTGAAAGACGAATATGGTCAGCAGACCCACCTCTAGTACCAAAGGAACTGCAATCCTAATCCCCAAATCTTCTCGTCTATATGCAGCAGGTACAGTCATTGACAAAAGAGCGGATCTGAATGAAGGTCGATGGTGTCTTTTCCACCTCAAATGGAAAGAAGAGGAATTTGCACTAATCAATGTTTACGCTCCTAACTCTTCGTCAGAAAGATCAACCTTCTTGTTAAACCTCAGAAACCAGATCCCACCCCTTGCATCTTGACGGGCGACTGGAATGCCACTATGGATCCGGTCACAGACCGTATATCTCGACCGTCCAACACTCCTAGTCCAACAGAGGCACTACCTATCCAAGAGTTAATGTTGGATCACAACCTGGTTGATCCTTTTAGAACTCTACACCCAGTCAAGAGAGCATTCACGCTGGTTAAGAAAAACCATGCTCACCACACCGCCTTCTCACGAATAGATTACTTCCTGGTGTCTGAAACACTGATGGGGGCAGTAAAGGAAGCAGAGATCTTACCCTTGGCCGCATACTCAGGGCTGGATCACAAGCCAATTGAGTTGGTAGTGTGCTTTGATCAAGTAGTCAAAAGGGGGGCCAGTTTCCATAAACTCAACAACGCACTTTTACTCAGTCAGACCTTTCAAAAGGAAATACAGGACTGTTGGGCAAGACAGAGAACAACTCGGCTAAACACGGAAACCCGGTGGGAGTGGTTTCAAAAGAGCTACTCTACTCTCTCTTTAGAAGTGGCCAGAATCTCCAGGAAACTTGCCTCTAAGAGGAAACAAAGGAGACAAACTTTGGAAGTCGCCCTGCAAGTAGCGGAAACCAATCTGATTGACAACCCCTCCTCACCACTCTACAATGAAATCTTTGAGAAGGCACGTGAGGAATTGGCAATGTGGAAATGGTGGGATTTGAAAGGGCTACAAATAAGAGCCAGAATGTGCGAATATGAACTTAGCGACTCAATGACTAAGCATTTCTTCGCCCGAATCAAGGCCAACTCAAGAGCTAATACGATTGAAAGCCTCAGATCTATCACAGCCCCGGAGAGTCTGAGAACGGACAGTGAAGGAATGTTAGAAATAGCCAAGGATTTTACAAAAACCTCTACCAGTCTAAAACCCCTACACCAATTGCACCCATCACAAACGAAGCAAGGAGAAAAATGCTCCAATATTTGGAGAAGACAATAACAACTGAGCAGGCAGAGGAGCTAGACAAACCTATAACAACAGAGGAATTGCACCAAGCCCTAACAGGAATGAATAATGGTAAGACACCAGGGATAGATGGATTAACGAAAGAATTCTGGAGAAATTTTGCCCCCTTCTGCGATCGGATTTATTCAACTATTCTAACGACTGCTGGTTCAGAGGGGGACTAGGAAACTTACTCAGCAGCAGCGTGGTCACTCTACTGTACCAAAAGGGCGACAAGGCAGACATTAAAAACTATAGACCAATCTCTCTGCTAACACTCCCATACAAGATTCTAGCGAAAACTCTTTCCAATCGGATCTCCAAAATAACAAATAAGTGCTTTCATATCGACCAGACAGGCTTCATCCCGGGTCGATACATTCTAGACAACGTGCTAACATTGAATGAGGTGGTGAGGAAGATTAGGGAAAGAAGAATAAACACAACTATACTTTTCTTTGATTTTGAAAAAGCCTATGATCAAGTGAATTGGGACTTCATGGAAGCATGTATGGAGAAAATGCGCGTAGGCCCGAACTTCAGGAAATGGGTTCGCATACTTTACAGAGATGCAGTCGGCTGTGTCCAAGTTAATGGACTGTTATCAGATTATTACCCGATATCCCGCTCAGTCCGACAAGGAGACCCACTGGCCCCATCGATATTCCTTTTTGTAATGGAGGCCATCGCATCCTTTCTGCACAAGGACCCTTCGATCCACAGGCTCCCTGTCCTCAACGCAGGCTCGGCCCATTGGATAGATTTCCCGACAGCTATCTTGTTTGCAGACGACCTAACCGTGCTTGTTAGAGCTTCAGATTCATCCCTTAGGACTTTGGCTAAGGCAATGGAAGCTTTCAGATTGGCCTCCGAAATGAAGATTAACTGGGGGAAAACAATACGTGAGGAACCCCTCCAACTGCAAGGGGAGGAAGCAGCCATGACTTGGGAAATGCCAGAACTACCTGGATATACTTATGACAAGAGAGGGCCTGGCACCCCAAATGGGTCAAAACATATTAACCAAACAAATCAACAAAATAGGGAAATGGGGTAATGTCTTCACATCCCTCATCGGTAGAGCCCTGGTCATAAACACATCGGTCTTTTCAATGATGTGGTACATAGCATCCATATGGACAGTTCCGGATAGCTCTATCAAAGAACTGAATCGTAAAGCCAGATCTTATCTCTGGACAGGAGACCCTAACAAAGAAAATGGCATACCCAAGATTGCCYGRCATTRTGTCACRAGAAGTCCACARAAGGGAGGTCTAGGAATTATAGACCCTGGAACAGAGACGAAAGCCCTACAGACCAAATGGATTATTAAACTTCTGATGAATCCTGACTCTACATGGAATAAACTAGCCTTGGACAGTATCAGAGCCTTGGCCCCAGCACCTTCTCCAGAAGACATGTCAGGGCAGTTCTGGGTAATGAACAAGGAATGGGTCATGACTACAGGGCGAAGAAATCGAAGGGGGGATGAAGGATTAGAGGGTTACAGACCTCCTACTCCATACTGGTCAGCGCTACTCCGAATTTGGAGAAGAATAATGCCTAACAAATCTAATAGACCTAGATCCAAGGACGAAGTACTCAGACAGCCACTCTTCGGGAATCAATGGATAACTAACGAGAACGACAACCCCCTTCCCTTGGAACACAGATGGCTCTCCTGGGTCAAAAATGGTATATGGAAAGTCGCCCACCTGTGGAATGAGGAAAAAAAAGAGTGGAAGACGGAACAAGAAATCAGCTCCCAACTTAAAGGATGCCATAAACGAGGGCCTAATCTCCATTATATCCTCAACCTCATCCCTCAAGAATGGAAGGCCATATTGACTGAAGCTGCACCTTGGAAACCAGGAGAGTGGGGGCTTCTGGTACAAGAAACGATTCCTTCCAGAGCCTTCCAGTTCTCTCACATGCAACAAAACTCACCCACTAAGGCCACCTTCTCCTCCTTTCCGGTTTCCTGGTCAGCTACCAGCATGCCAACCATTGTCAACAGTGGAGTAGAGTCAGAAGTCTTAGATTTCTTCCTACTTAGAAAGGTGAGAGTCGTTGGTTCCTGGCCAAAATCAATCTTCAGACCTGACACAGCGATTCACAACTTGGAATTTGACCCAGCAGAGTGGGCATGGTCACCTGATAAAACCAAGAATATCAAGTCCAAAATCCCAATTCACGAGTATACAGTCAAACTGGGATACAAATTGCTACTCAAAACCAAAGACCCTGACCCCATCATCAAAGAAAGATGGCGGACTCTGCTAGGACAGGAGGCAGATAAACTCTCTCAGATTTAGTGGAAGAAGTTCAAGTCCATCAGACCAATCAAAATCAGAAGTCTTCAATGGCTAATCACATACGCGGCACTACCAGTGAATCAATGGCTACACATCAGACGAAAAAGTTCAGACCCCAACAGTTCCGATCAGTGTACGGTCTGCACAGAAACAGCGGTAGAGGGCATAATACACTGCCTAATACACTGTAAGGAGGCGACGGACTATTGGGCGAGAGCCTCAGCACTATGGGACTCCCTATTCCTGACCCCCTTCCCTGAACAACCCATCCAACTCCTCCTCCTGACTAACATTCCCGAGCAGTTCAAGAAGGCAGAAAGGATTTGGTTTGAAATCATAAGGAAGGTGACGTTGTGGGTCATATGGAAGGAAAGATGCAGCAGGACGATTGAAGGAGTGGCCAACTCACGCGAAAAAGTTTGGACTGAGACCAAAACGATGATGCAAGCTGAAATCCTCTGCAGGTGGCGGAGGATCAAACAATCATGGACAGAGGATGACGACCAACAAATGAAGGTGAGACTGAGCTTCAGCAGAACCTGTCTGGTAAATGGCAAAGTGGCGGACCTAAGAGAAGATCGCATCTGTTGGAAAGATTGGCACAACTCAGGGAGGGGTTACCAGCAACAAACAGCAGTGGACGGGCAAAACATACTCTGACCAGAACTGCCGCAAGAGAGATCGATGGCTGCAGTATCGGAGAGACGGTTCAGAGAGGAATGTAAGCGGTTCATAAATTACCGAAAGAGAAAACGCCACATTACCCAAGATGGAATGAGGAAGGATGCCAGCAAACTGTAAAGAGGTGCCTAAAGACCAACCAAGCCTGGACAGTGGACGAGGGACAACAAACGCCCCTTTTTTTTTAAAGAAGTCTGCAAATTTCTCAATCCTCTCTAGCACAGCACTCCGAACCGACAGCAGTATAGCTGAGAGGAGCAGGACCGAGGCCAACCAGACTAGCAAGAGTCAACTAGAAAAAAGCATAGCAGGCTAACTTATGCAGGGGTGAGGGGGGGTATATCCTTCCGCAGGGAAGTAATCAATGCCGTCCACTCGGGCCTCCCAGCCATAATGGGGAGGAGCGTGCGTGAGTTTCCAGTGTATTACATATTGACTTGCCGGGGGAATAGGAACCGGACTGTCGCTCCCCAGAATGGTAGGAGGCAGAACCAGGTGGTTCTGTTATTTCAAAAAAAAAAAAGAAAAAAAAAAAGGGTTCTGAACTTCTGAATCTTCTGATGCCATTTGTAAATCATTACTCAACCAAGGCACAAACCGAGGGTTCAGAGTACCACCCACTTGCTTCTTCTGGAAAGCTGGCCCTGGAAGCAACCGCAAAGTTTCATCAATTGCACCCCTGCGACAGAGCCAAATCACGCAATGTGCTATTATTACCAATTTACACTTACAAACCATTCTTTTACTTTTGACTCAGCTCGATCAATGAGCAGCCCATCCATAGCATGTACAGGAAGAACAGAAGCTCGCAGGCTTCTTCTTCCTCTACACCTCAAAACAGATCTCATTTGCTGCTTTGCAGATCAGTAAACTGCTGACTCTTGCTCTCTCACTCTTATGTGTTAAACATGCTTCAGAGAAACAAAAGAAAGGATACTGAAGGTATTCTGGGCGGGCTTGTGCAGATTACAGGGTGAAGGTATCCTGAGAGTGCACATATGCTTGCACCGCACATACCCAAGGCTGAAGGTATCCTGGGTGAGCTTCTCCAAACTCGGCCAAATTCTCTCTCAATATCCTCTTCCCCTCCACCCCCCCCCTAAAAAACAACCCAGGCTACTCTCCAATGAAAAATCTTTACCTTAAATGCCTACTTTCACCCCTCGCGCCTAGGCATCTTTCCTCCCCGACCCCCAAGCATGACTGAGCTTAACTCTTCGAGATGCATGCAGGACCCTGGGATGGGCTTATGAGTCCAGACAGACAAGCAGCTTATACAACACATACAATCTGCTGCAGCAGATGACTTGAGCTATTGCCTTTCTCTTGATGCTAAGTTTTGACAAACAAAGGCTATCAAAGCTGAAGATGGATCAAAGTTGATTTTTTGCACAGAAAAGATACTGCACGACAAAATGAATATTGAGTGCTTTATCAACTTGAAGAAGAGCAAATTGAGTAGCAATCACACAGGCACACAATTGTACTCTGGCTTTATTGCCCAGAGCATCGAATCCACACTCAGAGAGTTATTATTCCCGAGAGAAACGCAATCCACCGACAAGCCACTCACCCAGAAACACCCGTGCACTCCACTCAAAGCATTTGTGTTCCCTTCTCGAATGGTTGCGTATGTGCTCACGCAAGTCCGCCAACATCCGAGTGGGAAATGAAAAGCATGGAACCCGGCGTATCGTCAAGCGTTATCCCAGATTGTATCGTCAACATTCATGATTACCACTTCCTGCCACAGTCAAAAGCAACTCGGCCTAGTACCAATTCCTACGATTCAAGCCTTTATAAAAAACTGACATTCTACTCTACTTACATCCGTCAGTTACCAGTTCAACTCCCACCAACTCCTTACTTTTAGCCGGTCCCACCGAATCTTCCCTTGTCCCCACCAGTCCCAGTCAAAAGCAGGTCCAACTATCCGTAAAAAAAAAGCACTCATCGTACCAGGCTGCTAAGCTGGTCCCAGTTCGAAACCCGGTAACGTCCTCACATATGCGTTAGTCCCTGCCAACCAACATATCCCTGACCGAACCCTCAACACTGCTTCTGGTGCTGGTTCCTGAAAGTCGAGGCATTGGTTACTCCCAATTGGGAGGATTGGCCTCATTATCAACCATAGCTTTCCAAGCATGTCCAGTCCTATCGAATCTAAGTCCCACTCTCAGTCAACAACTCGGTCAATTGGGAGGATTGGCCTCATTATCAACCATAGCTTTCCAAGCATGTCCTGTCCTATCGAATCTAAGTCCCACTCTCAGTCAACAACTCGGCCAGCAGCTTCCACATGTTACCATTATCAACTTGCTTGATTGTTTTGTTTTTTTTTTGTTTTGTTTTTTGAACTTCCGTTTTTTGGGTCGGTTTCGGATTATTGTAAAGTTCTACTGAGAAAAAAACAGATGAATAAGAGTTCTTTCAAGGTGCAAACAGGAATGATATCATATCAGTCCCACATCCGATGCACATTCCCCAGGGTTCAAAGGTTCTGATGCTCACCAGCCTCCTTTGAGCGCATGCTGAACCAGCCTTATACTCATGGGAGCATACCCAGAGTACACGTAAGCAATATCTTTCGGGCTTCAATCCACGTGAATGCACAGACGAAAAACAAAGTTTGATGATACACAATTAGAAAATAGATCTACGTAAGGATGGGGCTTTTTCAGTCAATCCTCCACCCAACGTGGAGCAATCAATGCTGTTCAGGGGTCCTCCGGCCAGACGGGAGGAAGCGTGAGTTGGTTGCTGTGATGTATCATACTTTGACTTGCCGGTGGAATAGGAACCGGGCTGTCGCTCCCCAGAATGGACGGAGTTGGGACCATAAGGCCCTGTTTTAAAAAAGATAAAAAGAAAAAGGATGGGGCTTTTTGCAAGGACAGAGGGAGACCCCAAAATCCTTTCGGTTTTGCGGCTTTTTGCCACTGAATGATGTCAGCTATAAGATGTTAGCTGTTTCCTTTCATTCATCTTTACATAAAAAACTGTTGTCAGGAAGTCCAAGGTTCCAAACCAAGCATGATCACAAAACTGGCACTGAGACAAACGAGTCAAATCACAGAAGCAATCAAAGTTTTTCAAACTGTTTGCCCAAAGACCAAAAGCAGTTGGAGGAACAATGGAAAAGACATGCTTGAGCACAAGCCTCATGAAACAGAGACATTACGAACTTGTCATTTACATTGTTCCATCAAAGCAAATGTATGAGACAAATATATTAGGAACTTACTCTTCCCATTTCAATCCCATACTCGGTAGTGGAGCCACAAAGGGAGGGGATTATCAGCAGACACCGAAGGAAAGATCTTTAAAGTTTAAAGCATCTCCAACAACGCACAACACCCTCTCAGACCTGATCCTTTAGAACACATGGCCTTCATAAAGCCCTCCTGAGCTGCCGTTTGTTTCTTGCCTTCCATACCTTTCTTCTGGCAGGTCCTCAACAGGGGGGGGGGGGGGCAAGAAGAGTGGGCTTGACTGACAGTCAATCCTTCCACAGGTTCAGGCATCATACAGATCCAAAAGAAGATCGTTGGTTCACAAGACAAGAGCTTGTCAAGACAGCACCTCAGATCGTGGCTGAGTATGAACGAAGACTGAAGGGGAAGGCACCTGCGTAGAAGCATCTCAGCGGACTTTCGAAGCTAAGGGGGATGGAATGCGAGGAATGAGCCTCGCAGAGCCCTTATCAGACATACAAGTGTTCTGGCTCTGCCCACCCTAAGTGAAGGCGGGCCTGAATATCCACACGAGGCCTGTTCTCGACAATTTTTCCATATGTGGGTACTCAGACAGTTGCAGCACGCCAGTTGGTTACAGCACAACATAAGCCTCCAGGCTCTTTCCAAAAACAAAGGGGCTGCGTTGTACAGTTGAGCCCAGAGCTCAGGCGGTTGCGCCCTGGGCACACGCTGTGTGAGGCCGACACATCACGGACTGGTTACGGGCCAATGAGGAAGCAACATTATCGTCACACATGTGCCACGAGCCAATGAGAATGCTGCAAACGCTTGGAGGCTGGGTGGCTGCCTGAACGTGCCTAACTGCATGAGGCCCAGACCAGTTTCGGAAACTAGGCCTGGACGCAGACACTTGGGCCCAACTGAAGCTACTGGGCCCCCACACGCCTGCCAGCAGCGACACACTTTCCATAAAGGAAAGTGTGAGCCCCTGGCAGTGGTATTCTGGGCTAGGCAGGCAATGCGGACACACTGCTGCGTTGCTGCTGGTCGGACGTGCACACGGGCGCAGTGGCGAGAGGGGCGCTGCTGAGGCAGTGGGCACACAGCAGCCATAGCCGGGCACCTGGGACGCAGGGCAGGTAATGGCGAAGGTGGTCTTCGGGTAGGAGGCACATGAAGTGGAAAGACGAGGGGTGATGAGGGGAGGAGAGAGAACATACCTGGTGTATGCTGGTGGTTGGCATTGGTGTTGACGTCATGTACACTGGTCTTCGACTACAGAGTGAACCAGTTGCAAGAACGCAGATAGGCTAGATAGGCTGAGTAGGATAGGCTGGGCACTGCGCGCCAGACATAAGTGCGCCATTGGATACAGTGTTGGTGTGCCCAGAGAGTGGCGACATTGACACCTGAGTTCATTGCATTGTTCTTATTTGGACGGTCTCTTGGTGCATTGCACTGTCAGCTTGGTTCATGACTATCTGAGCTTCTTCGTGATTTTGCAACTTGCTTTTCTGTCTATCGCTCTCGCTCATATTCCTTGCACCTGAGTCAGGCGGGGAAGAACAGAAAACCCCGACTGACGATGTGAAGAGCACTGGCTTCGAGGAGGAGGAGGAAGGGTGAGAGAGAGTAAACACTCACACACACGACCACACTCCGACGCAGAACTCGACCGGTACGATGAGGACGCTCAGAGAAGAGTACCAGCAGCAACTCAATGTTGAACTCACACTCAACGTCTGAACACTGAGTACAGCATAAGATGTCTCACCCGTGTGTAAGACTGGTACATACCTAGGGAGATATCCCGGGCGCCCGGGTCCCGATGTCACGCCCGGATTGGCGACCGGGTGACCGGCCGGGCATGACCCCCGGGCATGGCCCCAGGCAGCCTCAGCGCAAAAAAAAAAAAAAAAAAAAACGAAATCCAAAAAAATCTGAAAAAAAATTATGTTGTGTAGGATTGCAATACAAACAACTTTTGGCTGAGGGTCACATCAGAATTCCTCACAGAACTAAAGATAAAAAAGAAAATAACCATATCACATTAAGGCACCCCCCTTTAAACCCCTTTAGCCCCTTTAAAATTCATTTACACTCCCCTTTCCCCCCCTTGACAGCCAACACTCAAAAAAAGAAAAGAGCCCGGATTTGGGCTCCTCTCGGAGAGCGCGGAAAAACCCCACCGCCAATTTTTCTTTTTTCTTTTTTTGCCATGACCGGGTCACCCGGGCGTCATGCCCAGGTGACCGGCCGGTCCAGACCGGCCGGTCATGAAAATCTTCCTAGGTACATACTACATATATCTGGGAACAGCCTAATGGCTAGGCTGGGTTCAGGGGTATGCACAAAATCCGTCTGTACTGGAAGCGACAGAAATGCAAAATGTTCTGGTGCCGAGGACATAGCAGAAAAAAAATAAATGTCCCGTACCAGGCATGAGGTGCAGGGATCGAGCCCTGGCCAGATCCGTAACACTATCCCCCTCTCCGAAAAGGCAACGTCCCAACTGCCAAATGAGCAATCTCTCCAAAGGAATGGGACGGGGCCGATCAGGAACAAATGTTGCTGTAAAATGAGCTATCCTATCAAGAACACACTGAAACATCCTACTGCTGAAAGAAAAGTAAGTTTCAAAATACAAAACAATCATCATGGTAATCACAATGTTAAAGAACAAAGATGCAGAACATGGTATAGGAAATTTTAAACCAATTGTGTCTTTCAGAACGAAGTAGGTGCCACTGTACATCAGACAGCCAATTGATCTACTTGCAGTTGCCAGCAAGCAACTCATATGCATGGAGTGTTGAAAACTCGTCATCGCTTGAGCTTTGTGGAAGGCAAGTCAAGCCTGAGCAAAATTGTACAAGCCAGTGTTGAAGGTCTTTGAAACCGCTGAGAACTAATCTTGATGCTGTACACTCGGTAACGAGTCCAAGAAGCGTCCCTTAGTAGAAAGGTATTGCAGAAATCCACCAAGTTCATGTCGTAGGCCGCTCGCAAGGTTCCGATCTGGGTAGCAAGCTGGGTAGCGAGCTGTGCTGCAGACTCGAACATCAATTGTTACCACTTGTAGTCGAGATGTTGCACAAGGAGGTCTGCAGTTCTGTGCGCCAGCTGTTGAAGACAGCCTGGTGGCTAATCAGCTGTACATAAATCCAAGTCGTGATGTAGCAGACCATCATCCACACACGCTCGCCATTAGACCCAGGTAAGCAAGGTGATAGACAAGAAGGGGACATATGGGGATGATGGGAATCAGGTCGGGGCACGTGTGCGGATCAGAACAAGGTACATGGGCAGGGTTCAGAGGCAGGGTATCAAAGGAGGCCGAGGACAAAGGATTTCAAGAGTAGAGGTTGAGAATCGAGTAGAGGAGTTAGGGACTGAGATTCTTGAGAGAGTCTATGACAATGAGAAATCATATGCACGGACAAGCTTCATTGCATTCTTTAGATTTGACAGAGGTTCCCAAGTAGACTCTTCTTCCGGATATCCTGACCACTTGACTTTGTACTTGAGAACAGGCCTCGAATCCTGTGAAGTTTGAGTGACTCTACAGCAAACTCAGGGCCAGTGCGTGTCATGACGGGAGGTGGTCTAGGATAAGGTCGATCAAAGAACTTTGGTGGTGATTCATGATATTCCTTAAGGTATTCTGCACGGAAGATGGCAGACATGTTTCATATCTGGAGGTAGCTGAAGTTGGAAATTTACAGGGGAAGTTTGGCCGATGATTGGGAATGGGCCAAGCCACTTGTTGCAGAGCTTGTGACTAAGGCCATGTTCGGGTTCAAAGCGTTTGCCCGAAAGCAAGACTTTGTCTCTGACTTTGAATGTGACGTTACGGCGACTCATTCATTGAGCGAAGTTGAATGGAATCAGTGGTTTCAAGGATTAGGCAGTTCATCGTAGCGACCCATTCATTGAGCGAAGGACCAGGGGTGGAAGGATTCATTTGGTGAGGAAGTAACACGTCGGACGGTAAACGCGGGAGATAACCTGGATCGAGATAGAATGGGGACATACCGGTGGCAGGGCAAACAGCGTTGTTGTAGCTATCTTTGCGGCAATGAGTAACTGGTCCCAATCGTGTTATTGAGGATGACAATACTTCCTAAGGATTCGTTGAAGGGAATCATTCATCTTTTCAGTGTGGCCATCGGTCTAAGGATGGAATGTTGTGTTGTACTTCAGAGGTGTACCATACAAGGAGAACAAGTGTTTCCAAAAAGCGGAGAGGAAACGACTGTCGCGATCACTAATGATATTTTCAGGGAAGCCGTGAAAACGGCGACATGATCAAAGAACATCATTGCAACATCCTTGGTTGTGGCACATGCGGTACAAAGGATGAAGTGGGCACGTTTGGTCAGTCTGCAAACGATG